ACACAAACGCAACGACCTCGCGTCGCCTCCTGGACCCCTGCACCCCAACTTTAAAACGGGAACGCTTCTGCTACGCATTTGGGAAAAACTGGAGTCTACCCTGGCTTGACAAATTAGGTCCTGCCTTGACCTTGAGGCACACGCGGAGAAACTCCGAATGTACGGGGGTCTGCGGCGCGAGGCAGACAGGTCCAATGCAACTCTAACTCCCAGAATTTCAACTGACAGTCATACTAGTACTTATGCTGGTTCTGCAGCAACAGAACCGAAAATCAAGGCAGTGGCCGTAGAACGGTACTTGGAGGGTAAGGGGGACTTAGTAAGTAGGTTAATCATGGGGAGAGTTCCTTTGTGGGTTATAGGGGTTATCAACCAACTTACTAAGTCCCCCTGACCCTCCAAGTAGAGGTAACTTGGACCCCTGGGATCCCGCGCCAAGGTCTCTGGCGTGTCTTGCAACTTTCCCAGCGCGGAGCGTAGAGGCTTCAAGCTTTTCAGCATGGCCTTCCCGGAGGAGAGCTAAACAGCAAGGAAGAGAAAGGACTGCATCACATCATCCACAAATCCTTATCTTGGACAAAAATACATATATATTGGGGCTATATGGAAGTTTCTCTAAATTACTGTTCCCAAAATGGGGGAAATTTATATAGGGACCCGTATTATAATAGGAACCTAAATATAGGACCCCGTATTGACAGTAATTTAGGACAATCCCCATATAGGGATCATGGAAAAGAAAATGGAAACTACTACATTTTAATAGGGTATGCAGGGTATATATTGGGGTTATATAACACGACCGTGCGTTGACCCTTGCACACAAGGGGAAACGAGGTGCGACGACACCGGCTGGGGATGGCAGAGGTAGAGGGAGGACTCATCAGCAAGTATCCCCCCAAGGGAGGTGGCCAACTAGCCAACAGCTAGCAACAGGATTCCCTGCGCTTGTGCTGCGCGTCATGACAAGACAACACTGCTTCCTCATGATTACTACTTGTATTATTGGTACTATTAGTATAATCACTATTACGATTATGGTGTTTTTGGTATTAATACTAAAGTGCCTATCACTATTATTATTGGTTGTACTATAACTATGACTACTATTACTATAACTTCCATTACCATTTTTACTGGTACTATAGCTAGAATTCTTATAGCTTGCCTGCTGTCCAAGGTCAATGGCCATCTGGGAGAAGCTCCGGCACACGGCTGTCATCGGCGAGGCTGCTTTCTTGGCCTCTCCATCTTACTAGGGGTTATAGTCACCCTCAAGTAGATAAAATATGGCTCTGGGTATGTTATAATAAGATCCTCATATACCCCATATTTCATCTACTTAAGGGGGACCATAATCAGGAATAAGGCTGATTAAGAAGAGCTACTACATTCTAACAGGGCATATATTCGGTTTGCAGTAGGGAACCCTTGAATACACTTTTTGTGGATTATGTGGGATTCTATTCCCTTGGTCCCTACCAACCACCAGTAGGCCATTCCGACATATCACCAGCGCTATCAGGCCTGACCACATTGGTTTTAGCTTCTAATGACTCCCAGTCCACGTACCGACAAAGGAAAACGGCTTCTGCGCAGAACTTCCAAGCTCCGTCCTGAAGCCCATCTGCCACTCGGAGAAAGTTGCAAATGAAGGCCTTAGCCGGGAATTAACGCAGCATAGTGTCCTATAACCTACAATGAGGTAGTAGTCGGTATCAGATTACGGATCTGTTCGCAGGTCGCCTGTCCCTTCTCAACGCAATGCCTGAGGCTCCAACAAATGTGGCCAGCTGGTTCGAATACGCGGCAGCGCTGAGCTGCGCCTCGAAGCTTGGAAGATTGTTTGAGGATCATTTATTTGCGGGCTGCAGTTCGAACACAGTACGGTTTAGATCTAACAGGTCTGTTTGCACTGAACCTGGACGAGCTTGAAGCAATGCTGATTTTGCATTAGCAACTTGCTGGAGTTCTCAAAGAATGCAGGCTGCCTGCAGCAGGTAGGCGACACCCAGAGTGCATTGCCTGGACGAAAGAAGGACACAAGCCCCACATCAAGCGTCTTGAGTTAACTTGAGGAGCCGCGCGCCCTTGATGAACTACGTGAACTGAATCAGGCCAGCAGTGCACAGGATCCAGCGCTTGCAGGGCTTGATCGATCTGAGGCGCGTTCGCCTGCGCAGCCCAACGTTGAATCATGACTTTTGTTTCATGCACTTAGCTTTGTTGATTCTCCAAGCAACACTACATTGTCTCAAGCCTTGAGGGTCTCCTGCTCCGTCCTCAAGAAGTCCTTCCCACCCGGCTGACACATCGCTTACTGCTTGTTCTTTGCAAAAACTGTTGACTGTTGACAACTATGTCAACTGGCAGTCACCCTGACAACCACAAACGAAACAGTCAAGAGTGTCCTTGAGCTTCTTGAGGTCGCTTTCATTCCTGCAAATACGGAAATGGCCTTGCTCTCAACATGCAAAGGATTTGCAGCAAAGGCTCTGCGTTGATAATGTGTGGATTTGATGGACGATGCTATCCATGCTGCGGCCTATGTTGCCTCGGCTGCCAAAGGGAAGTGGCTCAAAGCTGAATGTTCAAGCAAAACCGGCTTGTGAAACTTTACGGAAATTGTTGAATCCAGAAATCTTGTATACCCGCCGCAACACTACATCCAGACAAGTCTGCAGGTTTGAGGGAAATCATGGCAAGATTTACTATCAGAGATTTCAAAATTTTAAGACCAAGGCACAGCGCAGAAGCTCTGTTCTGCAACCCGTTTTTCTGCCATCGTTCCCACGGATTCCCCAAGCCAAACAGCTGCCGACCATCAACTGGCGTTTTTGAACATTGGGGTTCCTATGTAACTTCAAAACGGCCTCATGCTATTTATCGGTGCACCACGGCACGCCACCCATTTTTGAGATTCGCTGAGCTGGTGGAACCCCTGAAAACCCCACCTACAAGCCTGCCGCGTCCCACCCCCCACCATTTCTCCAAAACAGCTTTTCTTTTTGTGCACCTCCATCCAGCCTTCCCCCTCCTCCAAACCTTCCCTTCCTCCAGCCCCCTCCATCCAGCCCTTCCCCTCCATCCAGCCTCATTGGGCTTGTATTGGGCTTCTATTAAATATGCCATACACAGCCAGAATCCATGCGCAAGAAACCTTATTGAGACTAATGGGATTCTCCAACAGCCGAGGTTCGATAGCATTTACAAATACCAACATGGGCAAAACGCCCACCGGCATCCCCTCACGCTTATAACTTCATCAAACGACAAAACAAAGCGTTGCAATGGAGTAAACGCGTGACTGGGTGATATGCGCTCACATTAAATAAGCTTGCGCAATCACTAGCACACCGATTGTTTTCCTCGCACGTTCTTACGCAGCAGTCAGGATTCAAGGGCTCACAGCTACTTTTTGCAATGGTCGGACATGCCAAAAGGCAGCAGTCCCTTACCCCAAAAAAAGTCTGCTGCCAAGCGAGGTTGCCTACCCTTTCCAAGGCCCGCGGCAACCGCACGAGGAAGGAGCAAAGAGCTCGGTCACTGATATGGCCACTTGTAGCTCAGGTGGAAACGCGCGGAAGTGCTCATCTTCGATTTGGAACCCAGGGCAATTGCGCCTGCTTAGCTTGTCCGCATCTTGGTTTCGCTCTCCTGCAACGTGCCACGCCTGCAGGCCAGTGCTCTTCTGGGCCCAACAACCCCTTACACACATAAGCACTGCCTGCGCACAAACTACACGGGACATGTAAGTACTGTACACGCTGCATGTACACGTGAGAGTTATGTGTACTGCCAATCCCAACCCAAGCCGGAACACCCGCCACTTCAAAGGCGGATCTCAAAGCATTCAAAGCTCTCCTCAAATCCACCTTCCACCCACGTTCCTCTGGCAAAGCGACATGTCCCATGGCAATAACCAAACGTTGGGGCAAACGTCACTGCCACGTTGCACATGGTACATGTGGGTAAATGGGTGAAGTTTGTACTCTTTGACACCCCACGTGGAACATCAACTAGTTGAGTGAGACGAATGCTGCAAGAGCTCGAACTTTTACACGACTCAGCATAGAATCAGGCAAAGTTGAAGTAAGGCTTTTGTGCCTTGCCTGCCACCCCACCTCAATCTACATACCCCTTGTCCACCGCCTGATGCACCGGGACCCCTAAACTTTAAGTATCCCTTGCCCATACCCCCCTGCATGCCTCTGAAACGATCCCTCAACCCTACAAAATCTATAAAAGGACGCCAAACCTAAATGACACTTTTCCAAAGCCCACTCTGAGTATCCCTGGCCCATACCCCTGCTGCCCACCACCCCCAGTGCCCTAGAGCCCTGCCCTTACATCACGTCCACCATCTACATGTTCCGCGCTGCGCGTAGAGTCGATCCGAGGCAGACGGCGCGAAGCGGTTACAATACAGCTGGGAGGACAAAGAAAGAAGGGGGTTTCCCAAAATTAGGGGTACCATTTTGGGGGTCCCCATAATAAGGATTAGTATTTATAGGGGTCTATGTTTGGGTCCCTGTATTTGGGGAATCTACCAAGTTCCAGGGGAGGAGAACAACGTAGGCATGAGGCTGAGGCATCGCCGACACCCAGGGAGATGGTTAGGAATTGATTCACTATCAATCTGGTGTGGTAATTTTCGTGCTTCAAAGACAAGCGTCTCTTGCTTGCCAGCTCATTAGATTTTTGACTGTATCTTTGTAAGACGTCGATGAAAACATCATGGTGTTAAGTTTGTCAAACGTTGGACAAATTTATTGCATACGAAGATTAATGTTAGCAGTGTGGCTATTCCACATAGGAAGGAAGTTGTCATCAAGGTTGGTTTCTTAGTTTGTTACGCTGCATATGGCGTGAAAGTTTAGTCCAGCAACCAGCCTTTTCAGTTGTCACTTCCATGAATTTCTGTGCCCAGCAGGTGCCTACCATTAGCGGAACCTATAGGGGACGATGCGGTAGCCCTAAAAGCTGCTCTGGTGCTCTTGGTGCAGCAGGCTTTCAGTCACGTGTCATGAGTCAAGCCTGCAGACGGATCCGCGGATCTTTGACCTTCACCCCAACTTTTGAAAACCACTGCACATGCAAGCGTCATCAGGTTCTCTTGAAGATCCCTCATGGAGAGTTTCTCAAAATAGAAGCAACCTTTGTTTGGGATCTTTTCGGGCGTCTGTGATGAAAATGAATCTGAGAAATTGAAACATTGCCCTGAAAGCTCATGTACGGGTTGCATTCAGAAACTCCCACGTTTGCTCAGAAATCAGGCCGTGCTTGTCGGAGCCGGTCTGGGGACAGCCTGACCGACAGGCCCAAGGAGGCATCGTAACAAAATGGGAGCAGTCATCACCATCCGCAAGTCACACACCATGAGAAGAAACCAGGTTCCCTCACCTATGCTTCCCCGCGACGGATGAATGTTGCAAATTTCAGAGGATCACAAAGGGGCTCCGCAGCCTCTCCGAAGTCAAAGTCGCAGGTGTGGACCTGATCTCTTCCGCGTAAGAAAACGCGTTGGGACGCGATCTTTCCGTCTCAACTACTCTTGTTGGCAATGACACTTTTGTTACTAGTATTCAAGCAATGTGTCCACATGGTGAGTATCAGGCTGCTTCTGGTCATTGCTATCATCAGTTTCAAACTCAGCTCACGGCAGTAGGGCGTCTTTGTCTTGTTCATATGATCCACGAACAGACATTCCTCACCTGGAATGCCGTAGGTGCAGATACAGTGAGAGGAGCTGGAATGTCTTCTACAATTAACATACAAGAGGTGCGCATTACAAACAGCTTGATTCAGTTTGATGTTCCCAACTATTCTTGTTTCTACGCCGACAGCTGCAACAACCCATTCGGAAGCACTTTGTTGGTGTTGTTGCTTGAGCCTTTGCGGAGTCATGTTGGACACACAGACTTTTCAAGTCTTTGCCTACACGCACGCACTTGCGAATGTCTCCGTGGACGCGGGCAGTTCCCAGGATTAGGGTCCAACCATGAACCCCCAAAGATAGTCCGGCCCTTACAGAACAAACCTTCAAAGAGGAGACCCCACAGTGTGAGTGGCAGCAGAACAGCTGAGGGCAGTCGCATGATTGCTTGCCAAACTTGTCCACGGGCCTGTCGGCCTTAGCCGGATTTGGAGGGGTTTAGGGTTTGCGCATAAGTTCCGAATTACGAAATTAGGGGAGCAACAATATCGCAACGGGCTCACAGGGCATGTTCAAGGAACCGCGGTCGCCCCAGTCCGAAAAAACAAGCGCGGATGCTGAGCATGGATGCTGAGAAGTCGGATTACTTAACAGTCCCGCTCCATTCCTGTGTTCCATCCAAACAAATCCAATAATCTTCAAAGAGCCCTGACCCTAAACCCTTGAGATTGAAGCCCCTGGTCGTAAACCCTGCAAGAAATCTCTTGTAGCCCTCGCTCGCTGAACGCAGGAGCTCGCGCGCAGCTTGTGTTGGACCAAAAAGAAGGCCGG